GGGTGTGATGAGGAGGGCCCCAGCAGGTGTCCCCCACTGCGTCCCCAGCTCAGGGAGGACCCAGAGCCAGGGCCGGGCCGGGTGTCCCTCTCTGACCCTGCTCATTGCCTTTGTCAGGGTGACGACAAATCCCCGAGGAGCAGCACGGTGCCGGGTGGGTGCTGCTGGCACTGGGGCACAGGGACAGGGCTGTGGGACTCCAGGGAAAATGGGGACCCTGTGGGTGTTGGGAACTCCAGGGGTGATGGGGACAGGGGGTGATGGGGACCCCAGGGGTGATGGGGACCCTGTGGGCATTGGGGACCCCAGGGGTGATGGGGACCTGGGGGTGATGGGGACCTCAAGGAGTAATGGGGACCCTGAGCAACGCTGAACACACCAGGGGTGATGGGCACCCAATGGGTGGTGGGGACCCCAGGGATAATGAGGACCCCAAGAGATGATGGGGACCCCAAGGGTTGATGGGGACCCCAAGGGATGATGGGAGTACATGGGGACCATAGTGTGGCCTGGGGACAGGCACACTTGGACACAAGGGATCCTGGGGGGGTGCCAGGTGCTGCAGACCTCCAGGCTGGGGGTCAAGGGGGCTGGTGTCCAGGATCTCACCCTGTGCTGGCATGTGGCCCCATCCCCTGGTGACCCTGTCCCAGGTTGCCCCATCCCTCGTGTTGACCCCATACCCCAATGACCCCATCCCCAGTGACCCTCTCCCACCGATGACCCCATCCTATGGTGACCCCATCCCATGGTGACCTCATCATATGGTGACCCCATGCCCTGCTGATTGCTGCTACCCCTCCAGAGGGTGACAGGAGTGATGTCCTCTCCCGGGATGTGGCCACCGACGGCCATGGGGGCCTCATCCAGCCCAGAAAGGTGCCAAACCCGGTGCGGGAGTCCCGGAGCCACCGGGAGCTGCACCGGGAGCTGCTCTTCAGCCACAGCAGGTGAATGGGGACAGGACCCCAGGCAGGGGGATGGGACAGTCCCCAGCTGGGTCACCGGGTGGGGGTGGCCCCGTTGAAGTCCTTCTGTCTGTCCCTGCAGGGGGATCCTGCCCCGGCATAGGGCCGAGCTCCCACGGGTGCTGGAGAGCCGTCGGCTGAGGCAGCTGAGGGAGGAGCTGCGGGGCCCCCCCTCTGACCTGGAGCAGCAGCTGAGGAAACGCCACCAGAGGCTTGAGGAGGTCCGTGCTGTCCTGCTGTCCCCCGTCTGTCTGTCCCAGCCCTCCATCCTTACCTCCAGCTCAGCCCTCCTGCCTTCACCTCACCATTCTCCATCCATCCATCCATCCATCAATCCATCCATCCATCCATCCATCCATCCTTCTGTCCATCCATCCATCCATCCATCCATCCACCCATCCATCTGTCCATCCATTTGTCCATCCATCCATCCATCCATCCATCCACCCATCCATCCATCATCCAGGTAACCATCCATCTCTCCATATGTCCTTCCTTCCCCCCCCCCACCCATCCGTCCATGTATCCACCAGTCCACCCTCCCTTCCATGCACCCGCCCATCCATCCATGCCCCCATCCTCCCCTCCACCCCCCCAACTCTCAGCCCCCCTCCATTCCTCATTGCCCCACAGATTTGGGGGTGCCTGAGGGAGGCTGCGTGGGAGGGACAAGGGTCAAGGGATGGTCAAGGGTGGCTGGGTCATGGGGACGGCTGATGGAGCCTGGGTTGATGGGACACCCAGCTCAGGAGCTGACTGGGTCATGGGGGCGGCCGAGGGGACCCAGACCGGGACCCATGGTCGCCCCTCCTGGGCCC